GATTTCCGTGCTACAGCCTGGAAAAGACCTGCATACGGTAACGGTATCTATTTCTACTGAAAGAGTCCACTTAATGTTGAGATATTTCCATCTTGAAGATCGGTACGAGTGGGAGGGGGCGTTTTGCACTCTCGCTATTTCATTTCAAGAAATCAAGTGGAAATTTGTGAAACCTCGTGAGGCCGTGAAGTGATACCAGCAAAGTTTGTTGAGACCTTTTGTCAACTATTGTGAAGAATTCCTGTCAACTCTTGTAAGCAGTGAAATTGCACCCCTAGCCGAATCGCGCTTATAAATAGATCAAGAAACTGGGCATCCATTATCTATGGCCCCACAGGAACCATCTGGATCAACTGGTTTCTTCGAAACATGCAGCTCATTAGTGGCATTACTTCTTATCTTTGGCCGCGTCGTAGCTATTGTTTTGCATCGACGAACAACTGCTCGCTACCGTTCTTCCATTTGCCAATGGCGGGTTAATCCTGAGGCTTTCCGTGGAGGATTATCTGCGACGAATGGCTCCAAATGCTAAGCCAAGCCGTGCAGACCAACAAGTTGAGCGAATGACTGAGCTGGGTCCCTGAGAGGTTTCTGAGCTCGACTTATGGAGAACGTTACTGATTCTTCTGCGATTCTTCGAGCAGATTCGGCGGACGAGAGCGTGCTGAAGAGGTGCTTAAGAATTGACAGCTGAAGTGTCTCCAGGGGCCTATAGTCCTCTTCGGCCACCAACAAATCTCTCCATCGTGGATTGATCATCCACGGCTTTCGCAGCGAGTCCTTTATTCCTCATTTCCTCCAGTTTTATGACTATTGGAAGAATCAGCAGGGAGATTAATAGCCTTTTAGAAATCTTTTTGTAATTTTACGTGACCCGAGTGCTGGCCTGTCATATATAAATGCACACTGCTCCTATTCTAATTCGATTTTGCAACAACAAATTAACAATTGCTTCTGCTCGGAAAGCTCCCTTCACTTCTCTCACATAGTCATTTTGATTTGAGTACATTTTTACAGAATCTAGACACGCCCATAACTATGCTACTACTTTCTTACAACCCTCTTCCCTATCGATCGAAGTTGGGACTGTAACAATGAGTATCGCTCAAAACGGGAAAAAAATCAAACACCGAAAAAAAACTTCTCGAGGGCCATGATGATCCTCGCTTCCAAATCACGACCTTCCCGTTATGCTTACCGCAACTGTCGGTGCTGCGCCCTAACAGCAATCCGATTTACAAAACCGGCTGCTCGTCGACCACTCCTATATTTTAACCACTCTCTTCTCCAGTTTTCAAGGGTTTTATATTATATCAAATGTTCCCACTCGACTAAACTGACTGCACCGGTGACTAATTTTTGAGTGGGATGAGCTAAACCGAAAACAAAAATGAGGTAGTGCTCATCAGTGGGAAAGCTGCTGCGGTCACCTTCGAGAGGCGTTCGATGTCTCTCCTGATAGTAACGAAACAAGTTTAAACTGACAACTTCCTTTCTTCTCCCTACTGCATAGTCCCGCCGAATGGTGCAGGGGTCCACTGCTCTGTGCAGGAATCGCCACGTGGCTGGCGTTGCCACTAGATCTTATCACCCTGCATTCAGCTTCAGTTGAGCTCATTTCAGATTAAGTCTCTCCAGTAGTTTTCCCTCCAGACACTCCTTCTTGGTCGCTTGCCTCATGCTCCGAAGTTCAACGCCTCTATTTATCGGGTCGTGTTTAGGCTGCTCAGTTACGGACTCACTGGCGCCCCTAAGTGCTTCAGTATTGGATGCGGGAAGCAGTGACTTGCCTGACGTCCCTCATTCGTGGATCTATTAAGTCAGTCGCCCACAGAAGGTCCCCTTCCAAGCCCAAAATAGTTCATCCGCGCTCACCACTAAGATTAACGCAGCCGGTGTAACGATGTTTGGACACGCTCGCGTGAACCGCACATCGGACAATTTCACTGTCGACGAACGTCTCTACAACGGATTCTGTTGTGGTCGCGACACGACGCCGTCATCATGCCACCACTGGGACGTGGAATCCAAGTTGCACTGACGCGACTTTTTAAGAAAATGTCAACTTGCGTACTCGGCGATCGTGACCTAACATTGATTCAGCCCTGAATGCGCATACTTCGAGATAACTGTTAGGGAAGCGATATTAGATCATATCTCGAAAGAAAGAGCACTTCTAGAAATTCGTGCAACGACAGGGGAAACAGTCCCTTGGTGAACCAACTCAGATCCAGGGGGTTGGTTAGTGAATTTGAGAAGTTGATGGTGCGCATACAGGGTGCAGCATCGGGAAATGTGTGAAATGGTGGCGTCGGTATGACTCCCCCTCTCGCAGCAACGACCAAATACGACCCCCCCCTCCCAGCAGAAAGTACACCCTATGTTTTCACACAACGATGCTGTACCCTGTGCGCATATCCAGAAAAAAGCATCAGTGATAATCAGGTCAAAGCTACGCTTTCCCAGGCTATTGAGAGCACTTATATTACTCTGCAGCTGAAGCCGGTGCTGGCTATTAGGTGACTCCAGCTGTGTTAGTTTAACTTTAGAAGAAGGATCCTGCGAAATGACATCACGGATTACGCTCGTGCTACTTTAGTTGGGGAGAGGGCAGCGGCACTCTACGCACTTATGTCCGCCATTCTCGGCTTCTTAAAAGGCGGATGGCAGCCGCTGCTAATATGACGTTCGTCGCCGTTGTCAGTCTTTGTCTATTCTTCCCCCTCCCCCGTCTTGATGGCGGCTGTCGCGACTGATTGAGGTCCATAGGGCCAGAGCGTGTCGCCGCTGCGATATGTAAATTGTGTTATTGAATGGTGTTTGTTGGGAGATGCGCGCACTTCGTATTGCATTCTGTTCACGTCAGCCAAGACGTCAGCTAGAACCAGGACAAAAGTGCGAACATCAGAAACTGCTTCTTATTGAACTAGAGGCGTCAGAATCCTGGAAATTCCACTACTTAACTGAGAAAACCTTATTTTGAGCGACTGTCGTGGGCAAGGTTTAGACGGGCGAGCACATCGAAGCAGGGAAACTTGTGTGTGTGCATAGTAATAGCTGATTTCTGATGTATCCCTTTTACCAAATTGGCTGAAGCACACTACTGCGCGCCTGAGGCGAT